TAAAGTTATGAAACCTACGAACCGCCGAGTCACGTCGGCTTGCAAGGGCGAGCATTATGTCTGTGGCAAATTCAGCCATAACCGCAAGCAGTGCAATGCTTGGACCCCGGAAAGAAAAAAAAACCAACCGATGATGAGCAATCTAGTGCAGAGGAAAATAGAAGATTGGGCCAATCAAAAGGAGTACAATTGGATCTCTAGATCTCTAGATCCACTCGTCAATCAAAACAAACTTGCGTAGAATATGATTTCAATAAAGTACACGCGGCGCACTCAAACCTGTTCTAGGTTGCACTACCTCTTTTCGCCGAATAACAGCCTAAGACCTGGTGAAACCCAGCGCTATGAACATGCTTACAATCAAACAAGCTGACTTGAATATTGGGTAGCTGTGTCAAAACTCTTTAGCAGCTTGATGTTATAGCACTTGGCCGAGCTACGTTATCTTGGCATCGGTCTGTGACGAAAACGTGGTGATACTCAAAATGGACGACGATGTTGGATGGGATGTTCAACGTGTTTCCGAGTTCGTGAGGAATAACCTAACTTCACACGAACTCTACTGTTCTCGGTAACTAGTTCTTGATAACCTTTTATTTGCTTCTCATGTAACAGGCATGATGGTTGGTTGTACCCCTCGCACCACGAACATGGGCTTATTGCAGTACGTACTACAAGGTGAAGGGCCTGTATGGTGGCCATGAACTGGGGCACGTGCTATGTAAGGATTTACGATGGTTTTTCTCTTCTGATCATGAGACCCCCACATTTGTTCCAGGTACTCTTGAGCGAAATAGTGACTTGCAGTGGCGTAGTTAGGCTCATTGAAGGGGGAAAGAATGAAGGGAATCCTTGCAGAACATTCTCTGAGAATCTCTTCTCTCGAGTTGGAGTCTCCTTGATAGGCTATAGGGTATGACATTGTTATAATCGCAGGGCTAAGTTCCTCGAAACTTTCGGTGGGATCGGTAGAAGATTGGTAGGACAGAAAGAGCTGTCTGTGCTGCCGTGTTGAGAGTAGCAATGTTCTTTTTTTAACAGTTTCTGAAAATATTCACACGCCACAATGAAAGATCGCATACCGATTTTTTGAAGAGTATTTTCAGGCGTGCTGGTCATAAACCGTTTCGAAATCCGAAATCAAAATGGTGAGTTCCAATAATATACCATTTTACATGAAAGTTACGAGAAAAGGAAGGATTGACAAGCATCAAAGGGATATCGCTCTGATTTAAGATGGGAAGCCTCCCTTTTCTAGCCTTCGTACGGTGCAGGAACATGAACACTTGACTGACCAAAAATATCATTCACCGAGCACTCCTGAATTAGGAAAAAGCTAAACCTTGATAACATCGGAAATTGGAAAAGAATGAGCCTTTTGTCATAACTGACACCTAGCTGGCTTTCGCTCGAGAATGAGGGGGGGGAAGCTCAAGAAGTAATTATAGGAGTAAGAAGCGGCACGATTTCCTGAAACTGCAATGTAAAGAGCCGTTGGAATCTCATTTAGTTCTTCAGGGTCGTAACGAAGGATGAGTGGAATGAAACAAGTCTATCCACCGCACTGTCTCGGATGGTTTTACTTGGTCCCCGTCTCAGTCGTGAAGAAAGATGCTCAGCGTGGTTTATCTCCAACGCTTTCTCTGGGTAACTATTTGTAGAGCTAACGTTTCTATCTCTTTTTCAACAATCAAACACTACAAACTTTTCCTTATCACCCTTCAATTCTCTTTTTTCCAGATAGATGATATTTTTATTACTGGAGTTCTTCGCCAAGCAGCTAATGTCAGCATTACGAACATGGACACGATTTCTGGAAACGTACATTATCCAAAAGACCGCCC